ATCTATCTCTTTCTTGATCAAGCTTGATTTCGCAAAATTTATTTATTTCAGTTAGCTATGAAATATGAGGCTAGAGTATACCATGGGGTGGGAGTAGTAATATTGGCTTCAAAGTTTTTGATGGGTTATACGCTAGTAAGTAATAAATGTCACTTTTAAGTGAAAGTTGTATAATTAATCACGTGAAACTCTGGCAAATTTCTTTGTTTTTTTATGATAAATAATCTGTTACTGCTCTATGTGAACATTTTTAAATTTTGAACCATTATCTTCGAAGCTGGCAAAGAATGCTTAATCAAATAACGTATAATAAGTGTCATACACTTTATAAAACTTGCTGTTTCTTAAACTATTGATTTAAATGAAAAAGTTTCTAAATATGTAAGCTTACAAAGTATGGGCAATTAAATAATAGGTAACTATATGTTTATGTGACACTCCATAAATTTTAGTAGCGGAACATAAACAAACACAATTCGTTAAAAAAATAAATTTGCAGAATTTCTTAAAAAGGTAGATTAAGGATACCTTTTGACACGAACATGTATTTATATGATTAAAAAAAATACAGTACTTTCCTGAGGATGCATTTGTAAAAAATATTAATTTTATAATGATATCTAAACATAGTAAGTGAATAAATAATTTCGAAAAATAGCATTCTGTGCAAATTTTCTACTGTTTTAAAGCATAAGACAACTTCGCACATAGTTTGTTTTGTTTATTTGAAGTTAAGCACAAAGCTACACAATGGGCTATCTGTGCTCTGCCCACCACGGGTATCGAAAGCTGGTTTCTCGCATTGAAAGTCCGCAGATATACCACTGTGCCATTGAGCGGCACTTGGCATATAGAGTAAAACTTTCGTTCTTCTGTTTACCAAAGCTTAGAATGTTTGGATTTTACACATTTGTATTGATAGCTAGTAAAGATAAATATTATCAGGCTTGAATATAAGTCCTCTTAGATTTTATGATTTGGAAGCATTATATAAAATGCAGAAAACAAGTTTAACTTGTAAAATTGATGTTAATTAAATTGCAAAACTCAGAAACTCAACATTACGGCAAGAAGTTGTACACGGATCCCGGAATTAAACTGTCTTCTAATTATACAAGACATGTTTTATGAAATTGGGATTAATTCTTATTTCATGTAAACACATAATTAAAAAATAAAAAACAATCAAAATATGTAAGCATTTTTAAAAACATTTTAAAGTTATTCAGTTTCAATCACTCTTCAGATCCAAATGAGAAACGAAATATGCCATTAAGTCTCTTTGCACTAATTAATTCACTTAATATCGAATATATATATATTTAAATGTATTTAAGATATAATTAAAACCGTTAATATTTGGTAATATCCTAGATTTTAGTATTTGATGTCACTTCTCGTACAATGTAGGTTTTTAAACATGAATTTAGAAATACAAAAACAATCATGTCAACCTAATACTCTGATAAATGCAAATTAAGCCTGTCTATCTAATTATTTTCTGTCAATATTTTTAATACTGTGTTCAGGTCTATTTCTAGACTTGAAACATATATGTTTCTGAGAATGATCCTTATCAAATCTGCAAATTACTCTGGCAAAAAAAAAGCATTATATATATATATATATATTTGTTTACTCAAAGTGTTAAATGTAACAGTTTTATGGTACTTGGGGTTAACATATAAACAGTTATTTCACGGGGTAAATAGAAACAGTTAATTGTCATAATATCATGCTTAGAAATATACGTATTATATACACTTCTCTGTCTAAAGTATTTAAATCTCCTTCGAAGAAGATAAATCGCCCATGAAAAACGTGTTCAGCAAGAACACTTAGTGGCTCTAGATTCAAGCATACAAGGTAAGTAGATTGGTAGTGTCTAAATGTGTATATCATGCAAACATGTTATGAACTGCTTGAATTTCAAAGAGGAGAGATTACAACATACTGTTACTGTTATAATCATGATCTGAAATAGTGACAATGCTTACTTATCAACGATTGCTTGTACGTGAGACTATTTAATGTATCAGTAAACATTTAACTGGGCTAAAACATACCAGTACATGACTAATGTTAACTTACTAGGTTTGAAACGAAATGGCAATAATCATCATTACAAAGAATTTACAGCCTGTTATGGGACTTTTAAGTCCTTTTTAATCAACAATAAAGCAATTTAAGATAATTTAGGTGTGTGAATAATGTTATGACTTGCACTTCCATATTACATATCGGACCAAGTATTTAATAATTATATATATATATATAGGACATATTTATTTTTCTGTCTTACAAAAAGTAAAATTGAAAAGAGAATCCTTGACGTAGAGGTTGGTTTGCTGTAGACTGCAGTCTGGCTTATTCAAGGCTTATATAAAGTAGTTTTATTAAATTTTGATTTGAATGTACTCTAAAAATTCGTGACATGTGCACTTTGACCCGCCCATGGCGACAGGGATGAATAGTGTTTTTACCTAGACTTTTGTTACATTTTCAGGCAATCAGTTGAGTAATGAGCGTAAAATATGTTTTGTAAAGTACGACGAACTCAGCAGAATAGAAGAATTATACTCTAACTTTTCTATTTATAAACTATATTAAAAATCTTACCCACTGAAATGAAATGAATAAGTTGTAATATGGACATAACGTAGACAAGTACAAAACAAGACAATCCAGTATTTCATAAACTAAGATGTTTTTGTAAATAGTATATTAGTTTCTAATTTTGGAAGTTTTGTTTGTTTGGAATTAAGCACAAAGATACACAATGAGCTATCTGTGCTCTGCCCACCACGGGTATCGAAACCCAGTTTCTAGCGATGTAAGTCCGCAGACATACCGCTGTGCCACTGGGGGGCGGAGGTTTTGTTAATAAATGTTTTAGTATATGAGATACTTGTTAAATCAGAGATTTTACTTACATATATTAATAATTACATAAACATATTGGGCTATGATGAAACATGAATTTTATATAAGAAAATCACAGAACACTGATTTGTAACTGACAATTAGTATATTTGATGATTCTTCTATAAAGTGAAAGATAATGTAACACATGTTACGATGACATTGTTTCAAAATCTATGTGAAGAAGAACATATTTCTAATAGTCGATAAACTAGTTTTCAGAAATCTTTCATGTTTGCATTGAACGCACAGTGTGAACTAATAATACTACTGGTGTCATAAAGTAATTATGTTTGGCTACGATGCACATGTTTGAATTCTTTATTCGTTTATCAGTATAATGATATATTTTATAGAAACAAAATTATTTATTTGTTTTGGACTTAAGCAAACACGTCACTTGGTTTTACACGAGGGCCAAGTTTTGTCAACTTGACATCGGGGTGTGATGTGTATGAATAAAATAACCGACAGAGTTGAAAGAGTCTACACCCTTTATTTATGTGTTAATGACCCTAATCATTAGGTATTTAACTATTGTTTGATGGCAAATGTATAGCATAAAAAATGGTAAGAATATTACTCACTTACGTAGAGTGTAGTATATAATCCTTCTTTGACAATCACAGTGTATCGAGCTTTTAGCCTATATGCATATAGTTTCAGTTAATATTAAACATACATTTACAAACCAGCAAAAACAAGATCTAGACAAAGATTTGTAAAAAATTTTACAGAAAGGTAAGGCTATATTTTTTCTATAATAGTAATGGTTAAACACATATTTGCGTAGGTTTTTTAAATCTAAACTTTAGTGAAGCAAATCAACTTAAAGAGCTAAACATGAAATTATTGTATATTGTTTACAATGTAAGTAAGCATTATTTTCAGGACAAATAGGTGTTATACAATATATTAATTATAGAAATGAATAAGTGATAAATGTTTTACAAATAAAACGCCATAAAATGCAGAAATGTTTATCATACAAATTAGATATAGAAGCGAAAAATATAATCAGTACGTTAAATGTGTGCTCAATCGATAATTAAATCATAAAAAACACAAATGGCCATACTAACGGTCTCGTTCAGTATTTATAAAAATGATACATTAGGTGTGATAAAAAATTTTCAGGTTGTATGATATATCAATTAGAGAATTGAAAAGCATAGAACTAAGGAATTAGTGAAGTGTTTCATATATAAAGTGATATATTGTAATAGGGGCTATGCTATAATATTTGCTTCGTTCAAATAATGGATAAGTTAAGATAGTATGTGTGATAACAACCGACATGTGTAATACACTATGTTATAATAGTTGTCTCGTTATTATTAAAATAATGGTTTTACTTGTAAAGCATTCAAAACTTTTATGACACCTGGAAATTAATTATTAACTGAAAACACAATTAGTTATGCTAACTATCTCGTTCAACTAATAATTTTATTTAGTAATTAAATATAGACGTTGATGACGTAATTACATTTTGAGACATTTCAATATCTGTTGTCCTACATTACCCTCTGATGGTTCACTCGCGAACTATCTGTACTGTTGATCTCATCATAGTACCCACTCCTCTATCGGTTTCGTGGAACTATGACGTCATCGTCTCCTGGCGCTACTTTGTGGTATTATGACGTCATCATCTAGCCACACCCATATCGCCCTCTGTGTTTCAGTAATGGTTTTGTTAGCTGTTATCAAATTATGGAAATTAGAATGGACGGGGGTTACGTTTTTATCCCTGAGTGTCTTTGTCAGCAAGATTTTTCGAAAACGGCTGAATCGATTTGGATGAAAGTTGGTATACATTTGGGATATGATCTAATTTAGAAGTGATTAGTTTTTGGAGGGTCTCAGGAAGGTCACGAATATCCTAAAAATCCCTATCTGTTAACATTGGGGCCGATTTTTCACACTATTTTTGCTCTATAACTCATTCAAAAATGGTCGGATTTTGATGAACTCTGTAAACATATGTAGAATATTATTTCTCATTGTTCTGTCTAATTAATGGTCCGTGTCCGTCGGTAATGACGGATATACTAATACATTTTCGTCTTTTTTTTTTTTTTGAGAGCCAAATAAGATCAATGCTGCATGGCGGAGGTGTACGCTCTACTGAGTGCTCCTCTAGTTGGGAATGTATTCTGTTACAAATAAACCTAATTATAAAAATTATAACTTAACCAATTTTAAAGCAAAATTAAATGGCTTCAATAAGGCTTTGCTATAAAATCAGTAAGCGAAGCAAAACGCAACCTGTTTCAATAAATCATATAAGTAAGTTATATAAAAAGAAGTCAAATAGCACTAATACTGATTTAATGAACCAGTAAATCTGGTTGATCAGGCTGTCACAGTTTTGTTCCAGGCTTTAGAAACTTCAGTTTTAAATCCATCAGATATATTTTTTATATTATTTACACAATTGCTATTTTAACGCTTATGTACCCCTTAGAATGAAGATAAAGATTTTCACGCAAAGAAACTTAATCTGTTTGTTAACAATTGAATTGTGTAGCTTAATATTTCAAATCACTCTCAATGTAGTATTGCATACAATTCGAAAGCCTCAGAAACCAAACTGAGTAATTGAAAACAGTATAGACGTTATTACTTGTTTGCAATAAAAATAAAAGTTTAGAATCTACAAACTCATTATTTTACAAATTTGATACCTGTCTTCTTTCAATAACGTTTTAAACTATAATGAAGATATGCTAAGCCTACAACATAATGGAATGATGCAAAATTTGTATGGTTTTCATATATCCATAGCATTTCACGATGGAATTTAGGGAAAAGGTTTACACTCCACTAAGTGCTATCTATGTATATTAAGCTAATTCTGAAAAATTGTAAGTATTATATGAAAGGTAAAGTTATATATAACAAATAATTTCAAACCTATGAATTTCGGATATAGTTTTTCTTAATAATAAGGGAATATTTCTACAGATCCGATATTTGTTTCAGATTCATTTGAAATTAGTACTAAAAATACAAAAAACTGAAACAAACAATGAACGAATATATTTATTAAACCTTGAAAATGCATGTACTTGTTCAGTTATCTCTCATTTTCACACAAAAAGTAATTTTCTATCTGACTTATGAGTTGCCATATCCATATGTTTTGTAATTTATATTAAAATTTATTACATACGATTTTCTAAATCATTCTTAGGAAAGGATCAAAATATAGATGTCAAAAAGATGTAATAAAAGTGCCTTATGGAGGCGTTAAAAAACTTAAATAATTATGTGTTTCAGTAATAATTTTGTCAGGTATTATCAACTTATGAAAAATAAGGTTAAAGGGATCTTTCGAAGATGCTTCCATAAATTTTCTTAGGACTGCAGACAATCAAAAAATGTAATAAAATAAAACTCATTAATCCGGTAGAAAATTATCTTTTTGTCAAAATGAGATAACTGAACAAGTGTGTGCAACACAAGTATGCTAAAGTTTTAAAAGAACACACATCTGAAAATCTCACGCTGTTTTAACAAAACTGAATCCCAACATTTGAGGAAGTAGTGCAGTGAAGGGGAAAGCCTGTCTCTTGAACCGATTAGTCAATAACTTTATTATTAAATAATACATACACATGTTTAATATTTTCTATGCTCTGCAACATTAACAAATATCGAATATATATCACATCTATTAATTGTACATTTACAGTTTTATTAGACTGCTGTCGTGCCCACTATTGTGAGTGGACGGAATGTGAAAATTAAGGTTAAGAACATAGCTGATCATAAGAAAACCTACGTTTTACTTTTAGTTTTTCCTTTTTCTTCTGTATACTGAAGGACTTCTGTAGAATGTATGCTTCATAAATGACCAGATTATACTTTTGTAACTTTTATCAGTTATGAGCATTTGCTCTGTTGGTTAAGGGATCCTATAGTATGTTTCCCCCCATACAATTAACTAATAACTAATACTTATCTAACAACGAAAATACTGTTAAACAATAAATACTTCTGATTTACAGATGTAGTTTATTCGGAAGGGAACATAGCCTCACTAAAAATGCTAGTAATCTTGTTTACTAAGACAAATACAAAACAGTTCGAGAAAACCATAGTTCTACTGTATAGTAGCAACAGGAAAGTAATATCTAGATTTATAATACAAATATTTTAATCCTTCAAAATAATTTTGTTTGGATACGTACACTTTATTTCATTTAAGAATATTTTACACTAACATGATGAGCCTTGTCATAAAAGTAATGATAAACAGTTTCTACCTTAATACCTTTTTTTGCAAAATAACTACAGTAATATTTTGTCTGACGTTTAATTTAATATTTTATTTTTATTTTGAATTTCAACAGAATTCCCGTATTATAAAAGTAGGTTAATGCATTTCAGATCGGATATTAGTATTTCTTATACAGATAAAATAGCCTGAATAGTTTTAAGGAAGATCTAAGAGCAAATTGTAAGCTAATAAAAAGTTTTCTCTTGTGATTGTCTTTATATGTTTCAGAAGAAAACATTCAATGTTTTATGATGCAAATTCACAATTCTGTTTACATGTATTGAGCTACTCTTCTTAGGGTATCGTTAATATGATAAGCTTTCTACACAGATACAGGATGTGCTCTATATTACAGTTGATAATGCTGGGAACATCCGAGTAGGATTTTATGTTCTGTGGAAGTAAAGAGAATACGCTGAATCAACATGTTGAACTAAAGAATACGTTTGAAACTTGAAGATGAGTTGTACTGTGAAGTTAAATACGATTCCAAAAGCAACAGTTTAAATGGAAGTGTAGAAGGAGAAACACATTTCATTACTCACCAGGAAACTGTCTCATTTTCCGTCGTGCCACTACACTATATATCATAGCACTCCAACGTCTCTTGTTTAATCTTCTTTTCTTCCTTTAGTTAGTAAGTACAGTGTAGGGGTTTCGTAAACTGTAAGCGAAGAACGTCAATAGCGTGTATAAGTTAACAATAAAATCGGAAAACACATAAAGCAAAACTCAAAATTAAGGATTCATGGAACAAGCATATGGACTCAGAGCTGAAAATGGGTTTCACAAGTTGCTGAGTTGCGAAAAACGTACGAAAAATTATCATTGAATTTCCACATCAAAGGAAGAGCAGTGAAAAATCTTGCAGAGAAAGCCATTCACATCAAACACATTAAGTACAGTGTACTCTTCCTATCTATCAAAATATTAAAGAACATCATTCACGGAAATAATTTGACAAAATATTTAGACAATACCATTAACAAGGCAGCTTAGAATCATCTATTAGAATAAGTAGAGAAAATATTATGATCTGGCCAACCTTTGTTTCAACTTTCATTGTTGATAGATTATAATACATCTCTTTTAACAGAGAAACGATAGTGACACTATGTTTTGTTTGTTTGCTTTAGAGCAAAGTTATATTGGGCTATTTGCTGTGTTCACCGCGTGGAATCAAATCCCGAATTTTAGCGTTGTAAGTCCGTAGATTTACCGTTGTCCCACTGGAGGACGACACTCTGTCTAGAAAGCTCTTAGTATCATGCCTATTAGAAGTTGAAAAAAACCCTTTACTCTTAGCCTTCTTCTTGAGAACCAAACCATAATATGATTGTATCCCTGCATTTATAAGTCTCAGGCAATCGCATCACAAATCAGTTGATCAGTTTACTTCGGATATGTGTATGAGATTCTCTATAAATGTGTGACACACATTCACTACCCACTTTATTAGTACACACATTAATGAGTCACACATTCACTACCCACTTTATTAGTACACAATTCATTAATGTGTGTACTAATAAAGTGGGTAGTGAATGTATGATTCATTAATGTGTGTGTAATAATAGAGTAGTCAGTGAGTGTGTGTGTGACTCATTAATGTGTGTACTAATAAAGTGGGTAGTGAATGTGTGACTCATTAATGTGTGTACTAATAAAGTGGGTAGTGAATGTGTGTATTGATAAAGTTGTTAGTGATGGGTGTGACTTATTAGTGTGTGTGTATACTAATAAAGTGGTTACAGAGTGTGTGATTCATAAACTGTTTTTAATATTAAACGTAAGAAACTCATATTGTATTTAATGTAAGTCCAGTCATATGTTTTGTTTGTTTTTAAAATACATATCTAACATTCTAGCAGCGATGTGCAAAACATTTGAGGTAGTTTTCATGCCCTTCGCTTAAATTTTCCTTATTCTATCATTTTCACGCACGCCATTCAAGCCGTTTTCTTGCAAGCATTGTGAATTAGATCGATAAATTGTGGTCTATTTGAAAAACATTTAAGGCGGTCAGACAAACAAACTCATGTAGACGTAACTTCATTTAATAAAACTACACGTAAAGTAAACAATAAAGTATAGTAATGATATTTATAACAATGTACAGAGTATAAAACAGTTATGAGTGTTCAGTGTATGACACGGTTTTACGAGTTGAAACAAAGAAACTCACAAAAACGAAGAATATAACCAGTAGTAAAGAAAAAAAAGTAGCTAAAAGTAGCAGTCTATGAAACGAACTGAAGTTAAATTATTGCAAAGTAAAGTAAATGTTAAGTTATAATAAAGGCAAAACTTAGCTGAATATGCTGAAACATCTAAATGCGTGTTCACAAAATGATAAGCATATGGTTTTGAACGATCTGTGCATGCGTATTTTAGACCTAAATAAGTAGAGAAAGCCCATAGAAATAGTATTTAGTGTAATGTTAATTTTTTAGGAAGTTACACGAGGGTTAAGTGTTGTTTGTATGAAATACTTTGTAAATAAAAAAAAATAAAGTTGAAATCGAAGTCATTCGTCATGTGATGACAACGACATTGTGCTATCGTGTACCATAGTCGTTGTATTCAAAAGTTTGACATAGCAAAAAACAGGTAAGGTGATCCTGTTTATTTTGTTTGTTTATTTGTAATTAAGCACAGAGCTACACAATGGGCTATCTGTGCTCTGCCCACCACGGGTATCGAAACCCGGTTTCTATAGTTGTAAGTCTGTAGACATACCGCTGTGCCACTGGGGAGCAGGTGATCATGAATTGAAAAGTAAATATGCAATCCGGACTCCCTGGACAAAGGACTTGCTAACGATACGAGATTTGTAGAGTTTGATTGAGTAATTTGCGAGAAAAGT